AGGGGAGGGGAGGGGAGGAGAGGAGAAGAGAAGAGAAGAGAAGAGAAGAGAAGAGAAGAGAAGAGAAGAGAAGAGAAGAGAAGAGAAGAGAAGAGAAGAACTGTATTTGGCTAAGTGTTGTTAGACACACAAGACATTTGTCTCTGGTACAGAACCAAAAGGTGATATTCAGCAGGTTCTGACCAGTTCTGGAGAACCAGTAGCGGAAATTTTGAGTTGTTCAGAGAACCAGCAAATACCACCTCTCACTGGCCCCACCTCCATCTATTCTCTGCCTCCCAAGTCCCAGCTGATCGGCTGGGTCTTCTTTTGTTGTCCTACACAGGAGAACGGAGCTGGAAAGCAAGTTAGTGGGGTGGGGAGGGAATGGGATTTTGAAGTAACCTTTTCCCCTGGAGTGGTGAGGGAATGGAGATTTTGCAGTATCCTTTCCCTGCCATGCTCACCAAGCCATGCCCACCAAGCCACATCATACCCACCAAGCCACACCCACAGAACTGGAAATAAAAAATTTTTTTAATCCCACCACTGTACAGAAGCACTCAGTATTCTTACAAACAACAAAGAGTGGGTATACTCAGAAAAATGTTACACTCCTGCAACAATATTTGTAACACCATCAAACAACCACATCTCCCTATCCCAGGTCCTTGGAAAGGACTCAATAGGTAGGGAAAAAATCCAACTTCAGTCTGAACATCTGACTGACTGCGCAACAAATCATAATATTAAAGTGCAACCAGTAGAAGGGAGAAATAAATGGTAATAAAAGGATAAATAATACTACAACCACATACTTTGGGTTAGTAACGCATTAGACAGAACTTAGTAGTCACTGTGTTTTGTCAACTGCGAGAATTAGAATTATGGCACCAGGGGAAAAACTGTCCCTGTCTCTAGTTGTCTTGGCATACTAATACCCTATAGTGTCGTCCCAAGGGAAGGAGTTGAAACTGTTTGTGTTCAGGATGGAAGGGTTCTGCAAATATCTTCTCAGTCCTCCTTCTGACTTAAATGTAATTTGCATGTATTTATATTCAAATAAATTAAATATTGTTAATATGATTACTCATTAAATTTCCCTTTCTGTTACAAATTGATTGAAACTTTTACAGAAAATCAGTAGAGCACTACAGCAGTATGCCCTTGAAGGGGAAACATTCCAAATATGCTAAAAGGCAATTGCTTCTTTAATATTTGGTCCAAAAGAAGTATGGATAAATTAAGGACTAAGGATTGTGAGGTACTGAGAAATACACACTTAGCCAATCCAGCAGGAAGTCTAGAGCACTGAACAATAATGCTCAATTTGCATCAATAATTATGCCAACCAGAACCAAGGGGTGGAATTTCTTCTCAACTAATTAATTTAGAATTAAAGAGAGCAATGGTGAGACCATCCGTCATCTTTTCTCAGTTCTCAAGTCAGGCAGTAGTGACCAGAAGCTTATGTTAAGTATTTGCCTTCCTTCCGATAAATTATGAAGCAATATTCATTTTGCCTAAGCAATCCCTGGCACCAAAGTGTGTGAATCAGCAATTGTGATGGAACCATTTTGTGTTGGCACTTCAGGCCTAGAATGTTTATTTCACTTAGAATGCTGACACTGCTGTCTGCTAACAAGGTTTTGGGAAGAGACACAGCTGGAATGCCATTAAGAAGTATTGGCTGGATATACAGAGAGAGAGAAAGAGAGATCATGTGGGGGGGCACACATTTTTCCTCATCAAAAGAATTGGAAAGCATTGAAGTATTCCCGTCACCAGCTAAAACATGAAAGAAAAATTGGCAAGCCCCTTTTCTTAAAAAAAAAAAAAAACACCCTTTCCCTAAATTTGCATTCTTGGCAACTGACATAGAATCTGATATTTATCTCCAGGCTGCGAAGGCATGGCCTAAGGGCTGTCTGTCAAATTTGAATGGCGTCTGCATATACCTATGTGCCAGCATATTGAACATGGATTACATATGGAAGGGCAATGAATAATTTAGAGCCTTGGGGTGGGATTGATCTGACTAACTTTCAGTTGCCAAAAAAGAGTGGATATAAAAAGTCTACACACCCCTGTTGAAATGTCAGGTTTCTGAGGTGTAAAAATATCAGGCCAAGATAAATCACTTCAGATTTTTTTTTCTACCTTTTATGTCATATATGCAGTAAGTTCCCGCTCTTTGGTGAACTGAAGTCTTGAAAAATGGAAGAAGTTCCCTGAAAGGGAAAGGTATTTATAAACATTAAAAGACACGGATTGATTTTGTCCTAGGGTTAAGAAGAAAGGATAATCTGTAAATGAGTTTAAAACAGGTTGATTCATTTGAATTTGTAGCCAGTGGAGTTTTTTGCATGGTGTTCTATTGCTTGTTTGATATTGATTTGCTTGTTTGTTTGATTGATTTATATCTGAACCTTTTTTCCTGAAGGTAGATTACAGTGAGTTTTGTCTTCATTTTATCTCCATAACAGCAACCCTGAAATGCAGATTGGGTTAAGGAAGATACAGACTGGGCCAAAATCATCTAGCAAGTTTCTATGACTGAGGGTGACATTTGAACCTGACTGGGGAATGTTGGGAATTGAAGTTCAGACATTTTAAAGTGGCCAAGGTTGATAAATACTCAACCATTCCATGACAGAAATATTTTAAAATGTAGTGATACACAAAACATTGTGACAACCGAGTTCATTTCTGGATTCTCTCACCTGGAAGAGAAAGGAAGAGTCCAGAACAGTTCCATGTCAATGATCAGTACTAAGCCTCAGCTGAGTTTATTTCTAGAACCTGGATAAAAGGAGAAAATGTATTGCCAAAAACCCCTCTGCATATATATGCATTGCAACAGTCAAGATAGGATAGGTGCAGAGGTGGTATTCAGCCAGTTCTGACAGGTTCTGGAGAACCAATAGTGGACATTTTGAGTAGTTTGGAGAACTGGTAAACACCACCTCTGGTTGGCCCTGCCCCCATCTATTCGCTGCCTCCAGAGTCCCAGCTGATTGGAGTCCCAGATGATTGGCTGGGTCTTTTTTTGTTGCCCCGCACGGGAGAATGGAGCTGGAAAGCAGGTTAGTGGGGTGGGGAGGGAATGGGGATTTTACAGTATCCTTCCCCTGGAGTGGGGTGGAAATGGGGATTTTACAGTATCCTTCCCCTGCCATGCCCACCAAGCCATGCCTCACCCACCAAGCCACGCCAAACAGAACCAGGAGTAAAAAAAATTGAATACCACCACTGGATAGGAGCATAAGTGGAGAAAGTACAGAGCCTTGCAGGACACTACAAAGCAAGAGACCAGGGCCACACGTCTCACTTCCTTTCAACACTGGGAGTGAGCATAGAAGAAGGAAA